AAACCTTTACATATGATAAGTCCTTTTTTTCTTAAAGCATACCGCAGTATTGCGGTGGTTAACGAACACAATAAATGCTTGAAAGCATTTTCCTTGATGGACCCAGAAAGTCTTCCTACTAACTCAGTTTCGAAATCACTACGAAACATTCACTTGTTTATATAAAATGGGAGGCTTTATGATAGTTATCACTAGCCCCTTAGTTGACTTCGGGCTTCCAGTATCTCTGAGTCTCTGTGGTTGTCTGTAGGGCTGGACATCGTATCAGGTGGGTCTTCTCCATTTCCTCCTGTAGGTCACATAGGGGGCATATTGGTTGAGTGTATACTCCTATTCCGTGAGGGTGCTTCGCCGAGCAATCATGTTCGGTACTTAGTCCAAACTCAGCAACGGCTTCAATTCTTGGCCAGTCGGTTATGTTAGAGTGCCGCTGTCCACCACTTCTCCTTTGCTCAGGCTTTAAGCTCGTTGCTTCTTGAAGTCTCAAATTCCCTCCTGATTAAGGTCTTCGTTGTGTTGAAAGACATTGGTTAGTCTACAACTTGCAATAATGTGGTCCCCTTTTTGAAAGTGTGTCAGCACGATCATTGCCTATAATACCACAGTGTCCGGGGATCGATTGAAGAACTATTGTCTTTTTTCGCTATGAAACAATAAGTAGCTTAATTCATAAAGCCACTGAATAGGTAGCCTAATCGACTGATAAAATCACGCTGTCACGAGACAAGCGTATTGGAAATTCAAATTGTAAACATAAAAATGCATATACGGTGCTGAAATGCAATACAAATAATCGATTTGCTTTAGATCAGTCTTGATTTTCCTTGCCACTAGAGTAAGAATCTAAAGAAGTGAGGAGAGGTTTAGAACCTATTACATGTGTTTGGCATTTATATAAAGCATATGACCGGTTGAGATTGAGATATGCTAATCTCTACATAGGGTGGATACAAAAAACGTACCCTCGGTTGAATTGAAATTTATTTAAGAGATAGAATATGCTTACCTGTTTAGCTCGAGCAAATCGAACACCAGCAAGGGCTAGACGCATTGCAAAATGTCGCAGAAGGGGACGTTTTCCACGGAGGCTGCAGTAAGCAGCTTGTTCTAGTAACAAACCCCCAGTTAAAAAGCTATCCTAAAACAACATAGTATAAAAAAACGTAAGTGTTGTTCAAGAGAATAATAGAATTTAACAACGGAGAAAAGAAACTAAAGCTTTGCGGAAGGTGAGCAATTCCACCATTCAGCAAGTGGTTCATTACAGTTGATAAGAGCATGATAGAGGCGAATGAGGCTACCATTAACAGCATTCCCATGTAATTGCACCCAACATAACATCAGGGTAAATGTTTGGCAGGAACCAGATCATCACTAAAGAGGACTAAACCCTCGACAGCAGAAAAACGAGCTACTTTGAGGTTAGAACGTAGATATCAGTTTGTGATGGCTTATGTCGGTGATGGATTAGCAAGTCTACCAAGGCAGAGGCAAAAATCGACGTTAATCACCGATCATCCAGTGAGATGCATTTAATTCTGAGGCGTGGATGAACGCGTGATTTCTTATAAAAGCGGCCCCAAGATAACCCCCTTTAAAATTTAAATAATGTACTAAGGAGTACTATTATATTACATAATGAGGCACAATTTCAAAGAGGGAGTATAAAAGAATCAGTAGAGAATTGCTCTAAAACAAAAATCGTGATTCAAAATGCATGCCCTTATTGCAAATGAAACATTTTTCCAATTAAATTTGAAACGAGAATAAGTCAAAAGTTGAACGAGAGGACAGTCCTCAGAAGAACACAACTTACGATATCCGCGAGACGAATGAAGCAGACGGCCATTTCAGCAAACAACTGTCGTGACTTCAAGGCTTCCGTGTGAAGAAGCACAGCTCTCAGTGCGAGATCTGAGTTCCTGAAAAAAACATACAAATTTTCACATATTATTATTTGTAATTCAGATCTACAATGTTCGGGTTCATGATAAGAATCCTTTCAGACACGACGAATTAAGTATGTTTGACTGGCCTACTAGAGCAAGTGCGTCATGATTTTCTAAATGGTTCGTTGTGAGGTCTTATGGGTATGCTTACAAAACGACTACAAAAGACAAAACACGATATAAACTTCTGGGAAATATTTGCACTATGTTATCTGAGACTGGATCTTTTCACACCCTTCTAAATAGTTCAAACCCATTGACATAATTTTAACAACGATCGAAATGATTGGGGTACGAAGTGTTGGACAAAATGCTCCAGTTTATCCAAAAGGAATTACTTCAACAGTTTCACATGTTCATAAGCCCTATTACTTAAGCATTAAAATACCGTAAAAAGTTAACCTTAAATTTGGTTAGGCTTATAGCGGTAAGACATTGAGAACTTGTGATTCTCAGGTGGAATTAATCAGTGTGGTTGAACATCCACACCACTAGTTGTTCACCAATAAGCAACAACCTCGTAGCTTCCGAATATAAAGATGTGCGCGTTAATTACTGGAGTAAAAAACCCGAAATTTACCTGCCCAATGTCTACTTAAAATAAAACAACCCAACACCGCAACAATCATCAACGTGTTTGGGACGTCACTAGCAAATTAAGATTGATCAATCTGCAGTGATGGTGATTCAGACACAATATAACTCCCAATTCTCGACAGCGCGGCATTGGCATAGTCTAGAGAGACATCTCTAAGGGGGGCTAAACTAGGAGCGACACTTTGAGAACAGGTTTATATGTGTGGTTAAATAACTGCCTTCCCCAAAGGCACTACAGCTGCACCCCAGTAAATCTTCGTACTTTCTCTTCAGATCGGGGTATATTTCATTGTAATCGGTGAGTCGAAACCATTGGGTGAAATAGTAACACAGCCGGCGACTGTGTAGCCGGTGTATTTATGGCCTGGTGCTTTAACCGGTAGGGGCATGGGCCAAGGTAGTGCCCAGATAGAAATAAGTATTGATGCAGAAAACATTGCAAAACAACGAAACAGACACTATCCATTGTTCGAATTTAAGGGAAATTATTATTATTTCAAATGGCAGGCGTTTTGAATAGTTATCATTAGCCATTTAGCTGACTTCGGGCTTCACAGAGGGAAAGTTCATCAAAGTAGAAGAAAGCCGAGGGGGGGGGGAACAGAAGAGCGATTCACAGATGTAAAAGAGGCAGACAGACACAAAGGCAGAGAAAAGGGTAAGATGAGTACTGTTGAATGGGTCAAATATGACAAGCAGTCGGGCCATGGTAGTTTGAAGTCAGAAGTCAACTGCCCGTTGATAGACTTTTTTGCCGTACGAGTATACGTTGCCCAGGGTGCACCACGTGGAGGTAAGTCTATCGCGCACCCCGCTATAATAATATAAATGTGGCTAAAATAGACATTTTGAAATTTGGTGGACTTAAGCATATTTCATTTTGTGGAAGTTTATATTAATGGGTTTAGTGGATGACCCCCAGAAATTTGAGGACATTCTGAGTCATCAAATCCTTTATTATTCTCCCCCCCCCCTCCCCACCATGACCTTATTGTTGGAATTTTAGCTATCTATTAGGCAATGTTGTGTCACTGGATTGGTTGTTGAACTTGTACCAATTGGAGTCTAATAAAGGGTGCAAATGCAAGCCCAATCTGATTTATCACTTTCTCGTTGATTTCGATCATTATGGATCGCCTTTGCCTTTTGAAGAAGATTAAGTACTACTACTTGCTTCACAGGTCTATTTTACCAGAAATCTAAATAAAATAAAATTTTTTTCTTCTTATTTATTCGATGCTTCTGCCAAATTTAATCTCCAAGTGTTTGGCCATGTAGGCTGGTACCTATGGAGGCCCTTTATTGCTGCATTTGGGTTGACCTCTAAAAGGTCATGCGCTTGTTAATATTCAAAAGGAAATTGGAAATTTGTTGTTTTTTTCCCCAACTAACATTTTAAGATTGCCCATGACCTTTAAATCACTGGTTTGGAGGAGTTGGGTAAAAATTATGTGTAATTACCTAGCCAATAGTCGCTCAAATTATTTGCTCTGAGTCTTGATCTGATCCGCATTAAATGTGTAGTCCGCATGCCCTACATTAAGTAAATATCATTAAAAGTCGTTCAGGAATTTGTTAGAACTCTCAGTGCCAAATATTTTGTATAAAAAGGGGGAATGGAATTAGGAGATTTCGATGCTGGAAGGGTATAAATTTTTGAATACTGGTCTGTTTTCTTCAAGTCTGGGGTATTTGTGATCGATAAAGCAAGACTTCATTTCATATTCGAAGAAAACGGCTAAATCGAATTTTACTAACTTACCTAGTCGAGAAGCTATGCTTATCTTGAGTCATAGATACATAGCGCTTAATGAAACTTGCGGTTTGTCTTCAATCACTATCTCAATTCAGTTGTTATCGCTAACCAAGTACATCTTTAAATGATGTGAATTGTATTTTCTTTGTTTTCCTATAAGGATAGTGTCAGAAAGTATAGACCATTTAAAATCTAATTTAATTATAGTTGCGTGGAATCCTTGAACTCCATTTGGGTTTCTTCTAAGTCAAATATCGCCTATAACAAATTCACTTCCTGAGATTTAATTTAATAACGGGTATAAAATACGAATACAGAGTAAATAGCCCACTATTTTCATTTTAGGTTAGTCGTGATTCCCTAATTGCTCTTCAGTACATGTGGCATAGACAACCATTTCGTGCTCCAGAGGGTTGGCAACGCTGGAATGCACGAGCAGTTCTGGTGGCAAGTCTGCGTTTGAGGGTTCATCGACTGTTACCCACATACTTTCAGCTTTGCCAAAAAGCCAACGAACTCCGTCACAAATTTGAGGTAAGATGAACACTTTACTGATATAAATTGAGTAGGCATTGTTTTGTTCTTTAAAGTATGCCTTTTGTGTATTGCAGGAGACTCAACCCACGTGGTTAATAGAACAGCCTTTCACATACACTATGGCGATTGTGGAACAAGTTCTGGATGGCTCATTGATTGAATCCATGACGGATTTTTGGATTCAAGTTGAGGATCATGTTATCAACTGTGTTGTAAGTAATAAATTCACACTTATTTTTTGAAGGTCAACTGACCCCCACCGTCAAAGATAATAATCATTTATGCAGATTGTTAGGTAGAAAGTGCACATACATTCATGTTGCAACCCTTTGGCCATTTCTGCTAATAGGATGAAATCACGCAGCTAGAAGAGTTTATGCTGCTCAGCGCGGTAAAGAAATGTAATTTTTCCACTTTTGAACAACGTGAAAGCATGGAAATAGTGCTGAAAGAGAGAGTTAGTGCAGATAGCGAATTAAATAAGAATCCCATCTCTTAATGGTTCTAGATTTGGATTTCTGGATGAGTTCGGAGCTTATGGACCATTTGGTTGAATTGAGGGGATATAAATGCCACTCCGACTGATCAAAAGACAAATCCAATCTCTCCCTTCACTTCCATTGTTGCAGAAATTGCTTGAGAGTTTCAGATTCTCCTTATCATTTCTCTGATCTCATGTCAGTTTTCCTCGGCTCTAGTTCTACTTTTTTCATCTTCAAGTACATTGGTACTGATTTTCTCTTTTATTTTCTCATTATGAAAGTCTCAGATCAAACGTCTAGGTGAGAAGTACGTCATTATTTGTAGGTCTTTGCTGTCAGTTTACCTAATTTTCCGGTCTCAACCCTCAAATGTGTGATTTGATTCATGACTTATTGTTCTGTTTTTGGCTTCACGTTAAATTGATTAGGTGAGATTATACCGACTTGTTAGTAATTTCGATCGAATATTGGGTTGCCTCGGGTAAATGTGTTGAATTTGTGTAAGGTCATCTATCCCCTTTTGGTTTTTTTAAATGCTCTGTTAAAAGAACTGCATTATTCGCCTGATGTTTTCTGAGTGGGCAAAATATAAATCTTCTGCTTTGAAAAAGGTGAATAGGTTATTGGTTTCCTGTCATAATCATGATTTCAGCATCTATAGCAGTTTTAAATAATCTCTCGCCATTCATTTTCTTAGGTGAGTACTTCTTACGTACACCTTTTTAAGTGGACTGAGTATGCATCAAATATACGGCTGTCTCGCTGTGTGTTTCTAGCGCATTCAATAATTAATGTAATTGTTTAAATGCAGTTTGTGTGCTCATTGTTTAGCCTGTAGGTGAGACAGCAATTAATTCCCGGCAAAGATTAAATTCTCAGGTATGTAAAATTATGGAAGAGAGCAGTAATCGACGCTTCTCAGACCCGAGGGACAAATTTATTTCGTTAAAAATTTATTAAATCTGCTTAGAATATGAAATATTATGTTTATTTTCTACCTATCAAAACTAGTACTTCCTAAATTAGAATAAACGACACCTATTTTTGTGGGATTTTCATTTTACGCATTCTGTGTGCACAAGCCAATCGATCAATGGACCAGCTTTAACCCGCATGCGGTCGTTCATGCGGTTGGTTCAATGGATGGCTGCTTGCAAAATTCGTGGCCACGGTTTCCCGGAGTGAATGCCTCTGTTTCAATGGAATATTTGTCCACAGTAAAACAAATCAATATGAATATTAATTTGGGGGGGTGGGGGTGGGGGGATAAACAGATGATGTCGAATAACAGAGAGCCCAAAAATGACAAGTGAAAAGGGTTTAAAAAAAGATGTTGTGAGCGCGACGTCAGAACATCAAGGAGTCAGTCTTGCTTCATTTGGCTTTTCCTCTTCGGGTTGTACAGTATTTAGCAAATAGGCTGCTCGTTTTCCAAATTTCATTATTCGTACCTCGGATGGCGGCAAATACTTGTCTATGATATTAAGTGCTTGCTGACCACTAATTTAATCAAGAAGGGTCTTTCGATTTCCCTCTCACTGGTTGAGAAGGCGAAATGGTCTTTAACACCTCTCAGTCTTATCAGAGGGGAGATGAGATGATAACCTAAACCGCTGGGGGGGGAGGGGGAGGGGGTACTTCAATGTCGACTTCGTAATTCACAGAATTTATATTTCAGCTTTTCTTAATATGTAACATAAATTTATTCGTAAATGCGGCAATTGCTCATAAATACTCCTCTTACTCATTGGCAGTGGTATTGAAATCGTTAATTGTTGATAAATGACCTCCTGAAATTCCCATTTTAATATTGTGTTCTAACCTTGACTTCCACTGAATTGCCACGGATGATCTGAATCGTCATGATTCCCTTACCACTTACCACACTTGCCAGCTCTCTTCTCATCCTCACCTTTTAACCCCTTTTAACATCAACTGATCTCTTTCACATTATTTAATCATAATGTGATTAAAACAAATTTCTTTTCGATAAATACTAACTCAATGGAGTTGCTGGAATGCCTACTCGTCCTTGGATTTTTCATTCACATGTGTTGCTGAAGTAGTTTTTCGCTATTTTTTTAGGGAAGTAAGGGGTTTGGAGATTTTGACATCTCGGTGTGTGTAACAGATATTTGGGGGCGATTAGCTTCAGAGGGCTGTTGAATAAATCGTTGGATGCCATTTTTTAAATGAAAAAAAGTTATATTCGTTTTCATGTTCACACACTTTGATTGACGCCTATCCTATCTACCAGCCAATCATGTTAAGATTCGTTGAAGTGTTAGGCATTTTTATGAAAGTGGTAGATACTCTTTCGCAGCCGTTAACCTACTTGCCTACAAATTCCAGACCTCTGAATTTGGCAGATATCGTTGCACTTTCAGTGAATTTTAATGCCCAATCACATTGGTTTAGAAGTGTTGATGAAACAAAAACGTTTGTTTTAAGGATTGCGTTAATTCATTAAAACTAATATATTTATCGATGTGTCTCTTAAGGGGTAACTTGTAACTTAGCCTACTATTCAGAAGCATCCTATCAATAAATTGTTCTTTTTACGTCGCATTTCTTTTATTTCAGCTCTGTGTGACCCTCTCACAGCCGAAGTGTCACGTCTGTAGTCAGTCCTGCCCACAGCCCCATCATCATTGCTCAACTGTCTGTTCTATTTGCCATAATGTCGTTCACAGGTTAGTTTAACATCCATTTCAACCCTACAGTCACTTGTTTGGCCATACATCTTATCACCTTTCCCTTTTGTTGTTTGGCCGAACTTCTTTGCATATAATGGTAAAATGTCTACCGAGTATAACGAATAAATTCAAATGTGATTGGCTAGTTGGTGGTATCATAAGTGCCTCTCTTATTACACAATGCACTGCGCGTTGTGATTTAAGGGCCTATTTTTAGCCTTTCCACTTTACCTATTGTCTGCATATTTCTGTATTTGTGCGATTGCTTAGATGGTGCCAAGCCTCTGGTTGGACTCCTTTGTGTGTTTATCACCCTCAACTTAGTCCTCCTTTTGCAATGCACTTTTGACTCTCTTGCAAGGGAATAAATTCTCCCCGTCCCCCACCCCCACCCCCACCCCC